ATTTTGCACGGGTGGCGGCCGAAGCCTACTGTAATCGATTTTAGACCACCAAGGGACCTTTAACGTGCGCAACTTGCACACGGGACCTCCGGGATTTTTCGCCCATGTCCGAGAAGACTTGGTGTTGATCTTTAATACCAGAAGATCAGGGTGTGGTTGAAAGACAGCAGTAAGAAGGAGCCAAGGGGACGTAGTAGAAAGTCTGCAGAAAGAGTCAGGAGCCCAGAGGATGGGGGTAAAAAAGGAGATGAGGGGGTAGGGCAAGGAGTTTACAACGAAAGCAGACGACAGAACATTGCCGTAGAGCAGGAGAGGAGGTGGAAGGAGAAGAAATTGTTTCCGTCGCTACCCAGATTCGAACCCGGGACCTTTGAATGAGAGGCGAACACCTTAACCTCTAAGCCACGAGAGGCCCCTATAATTAATTTAATATAAATTATGAGATATGGTGTTAGATCATGATTTATCCTACGAGTGAAATTGCCAAGTTGTAACGAGTTTCAACAAGTGATTACAACTGGCAATTTCACAAGTAGGATAAATCATGGTCTGCCACCATAACGAGTGTAATATATTTTTAGACCATACTGATATCAGCTGGCGAAATAGACCTGGACCAACAAAGTTCAAATGACCAGTCATTTGGACAAGAGGATCCATTCAAGAGTCTCACATGAAAACATTTTCATTCCTGTCTGAGTCAAAGTGAGGATTGGGAAAAATCTGGATTATTTTCCTTTATTTTTAGCCACGACAATTTACATATTGCGCTATCCGTATGTCTCCCTCCGCGAAATAAACCTCAAACAAAACAATCATAGCGTAAATATCGACAAAGTAATCAGAAAACGTACGATTCGAAAGTTGAAAAATTAAGTAACCGCATTTAGATCTAGATTTATATGACTATATGACATGTTGTCGTAGGAATAGAGGTCACTTTGAATTCAAACTTTGCAACCAAAACAAACCAAAGGCTGGGAGTCGTTTGTTAGCATAGTGGACCCAAGACCGAAGGACTAGATCTAGATCTAGACTTGCTAGCATCACACTAAAATACATCGCTGCACTCTAATACGGGGTGCCCACTGGATCTATGGACGGGATCGGCCGATCGGGCCGATCGCCCGACTCGATCACCTCAAAAACAAACGTGTCTGTTTTCAGTTTCAGGCGATCGAGTCGGGCGATCGGCCCGATCCAGCTGTAGCGGGCACCCCGTATAACGTAATCCCTGTGCAATATCAATAAGCCAAATTCAATCTATGCGACAAAAACTACCATAGTCATTTTGGCAACGCTGAAAGCACTATCAGTAGTGTTTATAGCACCGACCTTCACGCCAAAAACACCATTTCAATGACACTATCCTCAAGCCAAAATCACTCTATGCAACAAACACTTGGCTACCATTACCATAGTCATTTTGGCAATGCTGAAAGCACTATAGTAGCGTTAAAAGCACAGACCTTCACGCTAAATAAACTAGGGCCCTACTGTCCCGCAAAAAACACTACCCAAAAATGTACGTATATTCTTAGGCAACATATATTTTACAATCTCACAAACCCCACTATGTTCGGCTTCTCACGCCTAATTCACTGCTTTAAAGACTTCAAAATCCACTCATATAACCTGTTCAGGATCGTATTGTGAGCAATTTGCAATCATCTATTTTGTGGATGAATTTTGTGGTTGCCATGGTAACGCCGGCCATAATAATATAGAAAAATGAACAATTTTTAATTATAATTTCTTTTAATCCCTTAAAGTCGAGACATCACTTTTTCAGTCATCTCATATTATTTAATTGTTTTTTAAGAAAAAAAAATGTTTTTGAAAATTAGTCATTGAAAGATTGTAAAAGCCTTAGATTCGGTGGGGTTTTTTTTTTTTTTTTTTTTTTTGGTACCTCAGTTTTTGGGGGGTTTGGGGTTTTTTTTTTTTTTTTTTTTTTTTTGCTAACAAACATCAATATCTTTAGGTACAAATAAGATATTTAAAAAAGCATGTGATATCTTGCTTAGTTGCTTAGCCTTATTTGGACTACATCTCTGCCAAGTTTCATTTAAATTCGTTCTCAAACTTCTGACTTGTAGCAAAAAATGTACAGAAAAAAATGATTTCGAGGAAAACGAAATTTTAATTCAAAATTTGTTCTCAGAAATTGTAAATCACTTCCTTTCA